GGAGATCCCAAATTGTATAACTCTTGTCTATAGGGAGAAAAGAAAGTCCTTGACTGGTGAATAGGGGGTGTGAAGGAGAAGTAAAGGCAAGAGTAGTTAGCATTCCAAGTTCTCCACAGGAAACCAGAAAAAAATTAGAACAGGACAAATTTCAAATGTTCATATGAGAGTCCATTGGGATTTCTTGACGAGAGCTTCCTGAGTTTGAGGCCAATTTGGACTTCTTAGCAAGTTCCAGGCTGGCGTAGGCTACACTGAGATCCTGTCTCAAAAACTGAAACTGGGTGTGGTGGTTCAGACCTTTAATCCCAGCACTCAAGAGGAAGAGAGACAGGTAGATCTCTGTGAGTTCCAGGCTAGCCAGGACTACATAGTGAGAGTCTGTCTCAAACCAAAACAAAACAAACATCAAACAACAAAAACAGCATTGAAGGATCAGTATATGAGGAATTCATTTACTATTCTAAACCGATAATCCAGTATTAAGGAAGAAATCAAAACATACTAAATCTAGGGAACTAGGTCCCAGTAATTCCCTATGTGTGAAAGTCAGCTGTTTTCATCTGTATTTATTTGTTCAGTAAGTTTAAACAAGACCCACATTCAGAAGTTTAGATAAAACAACAGATAGAATGCTTAACAATGAAGACAAATATAGTTAAAGCTTTAGAACGTTTTCAGGTCGTTGGAATATCTGTTCCTTAGGGGTCACATGGGCTTGGGAGGGGCCCCTGGCTCCTTCCTTTTACCAGTTCCATTTATGTGAAGTTAAATCAAAGGTCCTGCTCAACCATGGCTGGCTTCACTTGGAAGCATGGAGGAAATGTTTCCTCTGAGTTGACCCATCTCTTTGTAAACTGGGTACTGATTTAAGTCCATCTGGTGGGGTCTCCATGGCCTCCCTAAACAGGAGAGGTGACTCATCACAGTTACAGGACATTTTGAGAGATGCTCCATTGTCACCTGGAACTTAGTCAACCTTAGAGGGAAAGGAGCAAAAACTGTCCTTTAAGTCCCTCTGACCAGATTAGTATAGGCCTCAAAGTATGGGTGTTAAACATCCAAGAAGGTTAGTTCCACCAGTCTGGTACTTTTAATTACCATGTGCTATGTAGATAAAACTTGGTCAAAAACCAAATGTTCTCAGATACACCTTGACTAGACATATATTTGGTCCTTAAACTAGTTGACCAAACTATGACCTTAGAAAATTTAAGATTCTGTGTATATTATTTTTGTCTCGTCCTTTATATATCATAGCAAACTTACATAGACCCTCATCATTTGCTTAGGCTTTCTCATTTTTTTCTGTATAGTTTTGAAAATATCTCCATTCCCATATCCTTTTAACATCTTTTACATTATGCCTGGCCTACATTCTCATTTTCTTTTTTAATAATTGTGAGAAATAGTAACAACAAATAAAATTTCCATCTGTTGTGAGAATTCTTTTCCTGGGGATACTAAGCAATGCTTATCCCATTTAAAGGTTCTAGTGTCAAACCAATGTTTGATTAGAATTTTCTTAGGGAACCAATGAATTTACTGAACTTACAGAGATGACTGAGGGGTTGCTGAGGTGTATGTATGACCTGAGGGTATGCACACTGGAAAGCC